CCCCAAAACCCCAAAACCCCAAAACCCCAAAACCCCAAAACCCCGTTTTAGGATCGTTAGGGTGAAGTTTAAATTTATAATAAGAATAATTGGAAATGGAGTATTTGGAGAGCATTTTGGGATTTTTATACACGCAGGTAAGGGAGAAAGGAGTTTGTGGGTTTTTGGAAAGCTAGAATTGGAGTTGGGGAAGTTGAGTTTTTATATTTTGAGTTGGGATGGTTATATTGGAAAATTTTGAGGAATAATATGATTTAGGGAATACTTGATGAAGAAAAGTTGCATGAATTTAGAGGTATTGTTCAAGGAACAGAACAGCAGAATAACCCTGCTTCTCAAAAATTTACTGAGTTTAATTTGACTCATAGTAAATCTAAGACTTTTGAAGGTAAAAAAGTTTGGAGAACACTTTGTTCCCTTCATATACAAACAAAATATACTAATTTGTTAAAATTTGTGCTTTTGCTTATATTTTTTGTAAAATCTTTCTTAAAATTTCTGAAGAATGAATGTAATACAACAAATGATCCATTGCTGGATTTCTCCTTTTTAAGGTAAAAAATACTATAAATATGTCATCTCGCTTCGTGCCTCACGAAAAAAGATAGCATCTTGAATATAAAATCATTGCTTTACAGCCAAGAGTACTGTTTCGCCCATTTTTGGTTTAAATAAGCTGAAAATGTAGATTTAAATTCACTGGATGCGATGAATAATAGCACTCAAATCCAGTAGGGCAGTATTCTGGTCGGAACAGGGATCTCCTCTATAATGTTTTCAGAAATCATAGGATTTTCTTTCAGATCATATTTTGAGAAATATTTTTGATCGTTAAAAATTTAAAAGTTTACTTGAATTTTCATAAAATCTAGCTGTTGCTTCAATAAATTTAAATATTTCTTTAGATCCTTGAGAGAAGGGAGATTTTATATTTAACGGCAAATAATGACATTGTGAGGCTCCCTACACTTGAGATTAACAAGGAGGAAACACCTGACAAAACTCCTTTCTTCGTCCAGTTTTCAAGTGAGAAGAAGGAAAATTCAACTTTTGCAAAGCTTCATCAGCAGAGACAAAGTGAAATCCAAGAAAAAGGTATAGTAGATTACTGGCAATTAATTAACTTTCGGAAATGCAGCTTATTTTCTAAAAATTTGGACATAATCTTTCTTAAATAATGAGTTATTAATCAGTAGATTTTGAGGAGTTTAATAAACAACTTGGTGTCGATCAAAACTCAGTCATGAATCTTGACCCTCCAAGCATGAAGGAAGTCCATGATAGCGGTAAGGATCTCTCATCTGAATCTTTAGGCGCTAACAAATCATGGGAAGTTGACCTAAACGAAGACAACTACTGAGAGAGGTTCATCTTGGTTCTTTCCCAAGTATTCCAAAACCTTACCCCACAAGATATGGTTCAGATGTCAGAAAGGGTAGTCCAGAGATGGCAGATGGATGAAGAGCAGGCTTATAATAACAAAATGGGCAAGCTAATTTCTGCTTATGAGAAGATCCATCTTCATAATAATATGATTCAGATGACTAAAGGTATTCGTATTTTGGCTATATCTAGCTTTTTATACACTTAAGGAACACCGAAAAGAAGTTCAAAGAGAGGAACCTAATGCAGGCAAGCTCTAGTTGGTTGATACCTAGATATGAAAGAAGAGTTTAACATAACTAACAAGTATTCCTACGATTCATCAATGATCTCTACGGGAAATATGACAAAATCTGGGGTAGAGAATTTGTCTAATCAGAGCAATTTATACGGGTCATGTTTAGGAAGCAGAAAACTCATGTTCAGTCCAAACCAGATGGAAGATGAAGCTCATAACCGTATATAACTTCTTTGATTTTATAGAAAATATGTTTCAGAGACAAAGTTGAGCTGAAGAGAGTCCAAAGAGAGCAATTCATTTGAAAATTGACAAGTATACTCCTAAGAAGACTGTATATTTGAATCAAAATATGCATATCGGTAAGTATGTTATATTTAAGAACACAAATCTTTAGAAAAAGCGCAAAGAAGAAGTTCTAGAGAACAAAAAATATATTCAGAAAGACTTGCTAGACCGAGAAAGAGTAAGGCAGCCACTTAATGTCTATAGTCTATGAGAAGAAGGAGTTCACTTCTAAGGAGGAAGAAGAGCTAGATAACTGTACATTTATTCCAGATATTTCAGCATCTCAGGCTTGTGAGCCTTCCTCTTCAGTGAATCCAAACTGAACTAGTCCAGAATCTACTTATGAGAGGCTGTACTATAAAGGGTGCCAAAGTAGAGACCAGAGGAAACACTATTATGCTCAAATGAGATGGGAGAAGGAAGATCACGGCTGCACTTTCCACCCACAGACAAATTCCCCTCAATCCACCTCCTTGACTTCGAATAGAAGAAGCAGAAGCAAGAGTATTCTTATAGTTTAATTTATAGAAAATGGCAAAAGTGTTTATGCTAGACTTTACACTCAAAAAATAAAAACTCCTCTCTCCTCCAAGCCATCCAATCAAGATCGGATCCAAATTATCCCATCTTCCAACTCCCTAAACCCTGACCTCCCCGCAGAGTATGCAGAACACAGCGTTCGGAAGTCAGCCCAGAGAAAAGCCGAGATCCAGGTCATCAAAACCCAGGACAAGGAGCTAAAATTTGTTCCTGAAAGGGTGACCAAGGGGAAGGACTCCCTGTATGGCCTTGATAAGGAGCCTTATTATGAGAAGTTTAATAGGCTTTATAATGATCATGCCGAGAAACATAAGAAGAGAAGAAGAGCAAAGAAGGAAAGAGATGGTTAGCCCCTTTAGTCATTTTTAGAAATCATTACTAAACAAGCTTGTAGAACTAAACGGGGAGGCTCCGGACATTCTAAGGGATCGAGGAGGCATGATAGTGTGACTAAGGTCCAGTATCCTAAGGAAATTCAGAAAAAGACCCAGAAATTATTGGAGAAAGTTAATAGAGAGGAGGGTGTTACGTTTCATCCGAAAATTAATAAGAAAAGTCAGGCTTTGGCAGCCTCTAAGTCTAGTACTCATGTATCGCATAGACACTTATCGAAGAATACTCAAAGTTTGAAGAAATTTACAGAGTTAGGTATTGTTCATAGTCTGATGAATAGCTTCTAAGTATAGTAAATCCCCTAATAAGACAGGTAGAAATGTCAATAAAAGTGGTTTGAGTACTAGTGGGTATAAATAACCATCAAAATTTGCCAGAATTTAAGTTACCAACATCTTCAAGTCAGCAGAATGATAGGTATCATCCTGAAGACTTTACTTACTCCAAATTGACTGAGCAAATGATCACTGAGGAAGATGACCCTGGAGAGATTAGGCTAGCTCCAGAGAAATATCGGAAATAGAGGAAATTAATATTTCAGTTATTTTAATACTTTATGGGGTTTTGGGGTTTTGGGGTTTTGGGGTTTTGGGG